GAAATGGATGAGCTAGTCCCTAGGGGTACTTGGTGAGTGTCAATTACTGTCCTACGAGACCCCTGGCTGGGGAGCTTTTGGGGTTACCACTTTCCCAGGAAGATTTGTCACACCCTAAGAATAGCCTTGAACAGTTTTTGTTGGAGACACAAGGTCCAATAAAGGTTAATTTTGAAATCTTCTATTTTAAATTTAGAAATAACTGTATAAATAGGCAAAAGTTGAAGATATTCAGATGAGTTATTTATTTTTTTTATGGAAAGAAAATAGTTGTGCTGCCATCTAATATGAGGAAGGAGTTAAAATATACGACACATTGTAAGTCTAAAACATTTATAAGCACATATGAATTTGTTAGCATGATTAGCAGGATGAATAAAACAAACAAAAACACTTGGCTTTCAGTAGATGTTTTCAAGCTTCATCCCCCCCAGGGCCCCAGAGGGCTTGGTTATCTGCATTTCTTGACGGTTCTTCTACCATTCTGTCGAATGTTCCAAGCCCTTGCTGAGTGCAGGGGGCCGAGGAGCCAGAGAGCTCCCTGCCTCCGGAGGACGTGAGCCCTTGGCAGCCAACGCCATCGCTCAGGGGGGCGGGGTGGGTTAGGGTCAGGAGGTTGGGGGTCAAGACCGGAAGGGTGTGAGTGGGAGGGAATAGAGCTGAGGTGTGACATGGGTGTGATCGGTGGAGGGCCTGTCCAGGACCTGCTGTGGGGAAAGAAGCAGACTCTGAGGGTTGAGAGGGCTAGGGTGTGAGGTTCAGGCTGTGGTGTGTTGTAGTGGGTAGCCATTCCAGCTTGGATCTGGAAGTTCCAACCCCCATTGAGACTCTGGCAACTGTCACGCCTATGAGGCGGGGCCAAGGGAGGTGTCTGGAGACCTGGATGGGCAAGCACTCTCTCTGTTCCTGGACCCTAGACCGTGGAGGTTGACTGAGCAGAGCTCCAGAGAACACCGCTGGACTGCGATACACCTTCCCCAGACCCCCGCGATCTACCTATCCCTTCATTTGTAAGTCACCCACTAAGTAAATCTTCCTTTTAACTACGTGGAGTGACCTTAATAATTACACCAATAGTGTGCCATGAAGCCTGACAGCCCAAGGTGATGGGTCCTGCAGCTGGCTGACTGGGCTGTCCCATCTCTTCACGGTCTACTCTCCTTGGCATGTTTGGTCTGTGGCTGGTGCTGATGGTGAGGCTGGGAGTGCTTTCATGGTTTCTCATAGCCTTGGGTTAGCCTGCCCTCTTGTGTCCTCAGAGCCCAGGTCTGAGAATCTGCAAGAAAGGATCTCTGGTCACCAATGTCACTTCCTCCAACGTTCCCAATCACAGTGGGAGAGACAGTTATAAAAGATCCAAATGGGCTTCTCCTTGGACCCATGACCTGGTCACACCACTGCCATTTCTCAGCAAAGTGCCTGTCAGGGAAATCAGTGGTCACCTAGAGCTGGGAACTGGCTACTGTGCCACATTCTGGCCACAAGGGGGCAGCAGAGGCTAAGGAAATGCAGTTGAGACTTCCTGAGTGGCTCATATAAAAAATATATAGAATAAAAACAAATCTGTGTACAGATGTATTGTGATTTTACTTATGTGTATGTGTGTATATGTCTTTGTTATATACCTCGTGTGTTCAGTTTCCAGCTGAGGCTCCCAGAGAGCACAGGATGCCCTGGAGCTGGAGTTACAGGTGGTTGAAAACACCCAATGAGGGTGCCAGAAACTGAACTTGGATCCTCTGCAAGCATCCCTAAAGCTGGGCCATCTCTCCAGCACCTGACCTAGCATTTCATACACCCTTGGGGTAGCCTTTTGAGGGGTCCTGAAGGCTCTGGTCCCGCTCTGAGATGATATGTTCTTCAAGCCCTTTAAATGCCTTTTACCACTAAGATGTTTAGAACTCCCAGCTCACAAATATGGACCACAGAGATTACACAAAAGAAATGCAGAGACACGCAAAGAAGGGAGAGTCAGGCTCTTAAGTAGAAGCTCTAATGTACCCCCATCTCCCCTTCACCTCCAAGATCAGTGGAGCACTGTCCACATCGATGTCCCAGTCTGGTGATGCCCTGTTGAGTTCACCTGGCTTTACGGGCAGACCTAACTCTGTTTGTCTCTGTATCCAATGGCCCTGGGTAGGTTTCTATCCATTGCTAAGTCTCCAAATATCCCAGTCTTACACCAAAAAAACCAACCAACCAACCAACCAACCAAACAAACAAACAACAACAACAACAACAACAAAAACCCAAAAATCAAACAAACAAACAAACAAACAAAAAACAAAAAACAAAAACCAAAACCATGGGAATGAAAGAGCAGGTGTTCAGAATAAAGTGCCTGTGAGCATGTGCCTGGGGATTTGTCTGTGATCTCCTTCTGGGAGGCTCTGTGGTAGGAGAGCCCAGGCTGTCCAGCATGCCAGGATGGTCAGAAAATCCCTCCCTGGCTGCACAGCGCCTTAAACTCACTGTAGCTGAGGATGACCTGAATTCACCTCTTCATCCTTCTGTGTCCTCACCTGAGTCCTGGGGATTAGAGCTACAGCACACCTGGCCTTTACTCTGGGCTTCAGCTGCACAGTTCTGCACTTGAGGGCTTTGAGTGAAAAATCTTTACAGTTTACAAGAGCATTATCCCACAGCACTCAGTTCTCTCTACCTTTATCTGGAGTCAGTGATCAAACTCAGGTTGTCATCTTGGTGGCCAATGCTCTTATAGTCTACTTAATCACACTGTCACCCTCTTCTTTTGTTGTTGTTCTCTTTCTTTCTTTCTCTTTCTCTTTTTTCATTTTTTTCCTACATTTTTTCCCTACTCAATATTTAGCCCAGGCTGTACAACAACAGACAGATCCATCTGTGCAGCCTTGCTTATATTTAAGATGTGTTCCTCCTCACTCAGCCCCCCACCTTTCAGACAGGGGTCACAAAGCTCAGGCTGACCTTGAGCTCTATGTAGCTGAGGATGGCCTTGAGTTCCTGGTCATCCTGCCTCCACCTCCTGAGTGCTGAGATGGCAGGCATGTCCCACTCCACACAGTGTCAGGGTCCTGAGTCACAAGCACAGTCCCCTGTGGCCTCTGTACTAGTGCTTATTGTCAGTGCAGCTGGCTGTGACCCCAATCCCTGGGAGAGGACACAGTGGACACCCCAGTCAGGCCCCTCAGTCTCCTCTCAGCTATCTGATCTGCTGCTGTCATTGCCTTCCACCCCATCCTCCACCCCATGTGGAAGTCATAGCCTGAGGACCCAGGAGGAGATAAGTTTGTAATATCAAGGCTCCTGGGGTTCAAGGTCCCTTGCAGGCTCCTGTTGAGTCTGTGATGCCTGGAGTGGGTGTTGGGCAGGGCTGGGGATGAGGTGGGATGGGGGTGGGGACAGGGAAGACAGGGTTCTGGAAGACCTACCTCCCCTCCTCTTAGTTACTGGAGCTGGAACAGGGCTCATGACATCACCTCCACTTGCTTTTGTGCCAGGAGTTGACATAACTGGTGAGTCCAGCCCAGCTTCTGATGCTGAACAGAGACTCAGTGATGTGTCCTTGTCCTCCTGTCACCTCATGACATTTCCATAACATGGGTGTCCATAACATGGGTGGACCTCAGGATCTCCCCAGCAGGCAGGGTTGGAGGGGACAGGGGTAGGTAGGGGTGGCCTGGGGAGAGATGGGGTGGGAGGTGGACTTTCTCCTCTTCCTGATAGAGAAAGACACATGCAGAGGGAAACACACCCAGTTCACATTACCTTAGCTTTCAGTTTTGATGGCTGAAGCTCCAATTGCTCTGTGGACTGGGAGGGCTCTGCTGGAGCAGGCCGAGTCAAAGTCTCTGTAGAGGCCATGATGGCTGTGCCAGCCTCTGCTTCTTGTCTGCTGCCTAGACACCACGAACCTGTCGGAGATGTGGAAACCAGAGCCTGGCATTGGGGAGAGCCGAACTTAGAGCTGTGAGTGCATCTTGGAGCAGCTGAGCTCTGGGAGGAAGATTTCTTCTGGGTCCCTTAGACCTCGAGCTGTTCCCCATGAAGTCACAGTCTTCCAGAGCTGGGAGCAAAGAGAAGCAGGTAGGTTGGCTTTGAAGACACCCTTGAGCCTGAGGAAGGAACCAGAGCTGAGATTGTGTTCAGTGAGTCCCTGCAGGTCACATCCCCGGTGGCTGAGCCTGGAGACAGCTCACAGGTCCCTGAGTTTGTCCTTCTCAGGACTTTAGGCTTCCCTTCTCCCACCCTTCTAGACAGCAGGTGGTTGGGGCAGACTAGGGTTTGTTTATGTTCTTTTCAAGCCTGTCTACACCATGCAGGGTCTTTATCAAAGACAGAGACTATGAGGACAAAGCTGTCTGTGGACATGTGTGTGTGGCACCTGCTGAGTGTAGGGTGATGGCCTGGAACCATGGAGGGACTGGGCTGGGACTGAAGTGTGGATCAACTCCACAACCACAAGCCAGGACAAGGCACTTTTGATGGGCACCACAGCTTTCAGGGAGACATGTCTGTCTCTGAAGCTGCCCAGAGGATGCCTGGTCCCAATTATGGAAGGGTAGAGGCACAGGTGGCAGCCATGCTGTTTTGAGGGATGGGCTGGACAGAGGCTGTATGTCTCGGGGTCACAGGCAGTATGTGGATAATGGAGAGCTGAGGTGATGGTGTCTACTCTGAGTTCCTCAAGGTGCTGAGAATGGCAGGGTAGAGTTTGGCTGCACTGTGGATGGGGATGTGTGGGAAGGAAAGAAAAGGCTTCCTCTGAGATGACTTGGATATCCCAGCTCCTTGGTCTTGTTCAGCAGAGCTGAGAGGAACCCAGGCATGGAGGTTTGTCAGTGTTGGACTGTCGGAGTCTTCACCCAGTTAGTATGGGTGTGTTTTGTCCTGTGGGGCTGACACCAGCTTGATGATTCTCTCCCCGCTCTTGTGTCCAAGCTCTGGGTGAAACCTGCCTCCTGCCTGCTCCCCAGGGGTCTTGGTCTATCATACCTGTTTTTCTCCCCAGCTCCGAAGACATGGAAAATTGCTGCCAACATGCTCTGCCCTGCCATTTCACCTGCCTGTTTGTCCTTGCCCAGCTGCTTACCTGGGTGTCCACAAGTGAGTGTGTCTTTTTCTAACTTCCCATGGCTCCCTCCAGTGAATGGGATCTATGAGGAGCTCTGCTGTTCAGATGTGTAGGAAACTCATTTATATCTGGGATCCAGGATTTTCATAGTTTTCCCTTTATAGTGAATAGTAATAAAAATCGAGGCTGAGCATGTCTACATCAGCATTGGAGAGGATGAGACTGGAAAATTGTGAGTCCTTTCCCAACCTGAGTTCCATAGCCACACCGTACTTGGGGATCATAGTTGGGACCATAGCCTTGAAGCTGGCCGTGTGCCTGGGCTGTGAGGAGCTGCGGAGGCCAGTGTAGGTAGGAGCAGAGTGAGCCAGGGAGGGAGAAGCAGGAGCTGAGTGTGGGAGGTCCTGAGGTGGGAGCAGCCCTGTGGGTCCTGGTGGGCATCGTAGAGTCAGGACTGAGCTTTGAGCAGAGCAGTAATATGGCTTTGATCCACGTAACAGGGTCACAGAAGTGGGGGTGGGAGACAGCAGGCAGGAGTCCTGGTCTGTTGAGTGGCAACAGTGGATTAGAGCCAAGTGGAGCAGCACAGAGTGATAAGTAGCTAATGGGGGCCCGCAGTGCCTGTAACTCTTTGGGGGCACATGATGCCTGTAGCTCTTTAGGGCCCACAGTGCTTGTATATCAGTCCTCCAGGCCTAGAGGGCCAAGGGCTGTCAGAGTGAGGCAGACTATCTTTGTTCTTTATCAAGAAGTGATTGGGGCTTCTGGGAATGATATATATATATATATTTTTTAACAGACATTGCCTTTGGCTCCATGTATTTTATTTCATGTGTATGGGTGTTTTTCCAGAATGTTATGACTGTGTTCCACATGTATAACTGATGCCCACAGAGTCTGAAAGAGTGTGATAGATGGTTGTGGACTACAATGTGGGTGCTAGAAATTGATCTTGGGTCCTCTGGAGAAGTAACCAGTGCTCCTAACTGCTTAGCCAACTCTCCATCCCCTGCTCTATGTTCTATAGTTTACATATAGTTCAGCGGAGAAAGATGTGGGCTGATAGACTGAATTCAGGGTTGGGGTTGGGAGTTTCCTGGGTGTGGTTCAATCATCAAGGGATTCTAAAACAGGGTCTGTGAGAGGTAGAACTTACTGTGTGTCTCAACGTAGGGGACCTTTTCAAATGCGTGATCTTTGGCCTACTCCAGATGAAATGTGTTGGAGCCAATTTAGGTTTCCTAGTGGCTGTACCCAGCAGGTCTGCATAAAAGAATGATTGGACCACAGGCCTGAGGACCAGGTGTCTGAGATGGTCTGCACTCTGTGCTGGGGGGAGGACTTATGCTCCACCCCTGGGCATTCCTTTAAAAGCCCTTTGGCAGAGACAGTCAGGGCCTGATGGATTAGGATCCAGGCCCTCCTGAGGCTATTCTGTATTTTCTGTTTCTCTCCCTTCTATACTTCTAATATTTCCTGCTGCTCCTATTCAAGAGTACCCTGGGGAAAAGTGGGGGTGGGATGGCCCCCCACAGATGGCGCCAGTGAGCAGGGACAAAGAAAAAAAAGCCTGGAGTACTTGGTGAAAGTAGAAGTTAGACTCTGCCAGCACGCAGTGGGAAAAAGTAGAGTGAGGCAGGGGCTTTGTCTTCAGGACAAAAAGAGAGAAGGGACTGAAATGATGCCTGAATACAAGGCTGCAGTGTAGAATCTTCTCTATCAAGGTTTCTTTCATTCTGTCCCTCTCTCTTAATTTCTATTTATGAAAAATAAGAAAGGTAGAGTGCTGTAATATAGTGTAGAAAAAAATTAGAAAAGTAGGATGTAAGAACACAGCGCAAAGAAAAAGCAGGATAAGATAAGCTACAAGACAGACAACTGTGTCCTTAATTTCCTAACTATAGGGCTGTGAACACAAACTGGGAAAAATCAGAGGAAGAAATGGGGAGAAAAAGATTCCTGTGGGAAGCTTTTGGTCCCAAGCGTTAGGGAAATAATTTTCCCTCAGGCAAAGTCAAGTGGAAAGTTTTGGGAAAACTTGATGGTCTTTCTCTCTCAAAAACTAAAAGCTTTCTTGGGAAAAACTTAGTAATCTCTCTCAAAAAAAAAATCTAAAATTCTTTCAGAACTTTCTTTCTCAGATTTTTCTCTTTTTGTGAGGGCAAAATTAGATTCACCTGAGAGAGTACAGGAAATCACCTGTGGATTCACTCTAAGAAAAAACAAAAAGACCTCTTGGAACTGGACAAATCCCTCTTCTAAGCTCTGTCTCTTCAGGCTTGTTTAAACAAACAAACAAACAAACAAACAAACAAACAAACATAGGTATATAAGCCCATATGTGCATATTTGAGGGAATCCCAAAAAAGTGGGCCACATGCCATGCATGTGCATAGATTACGTGATCATGCTGCATGCAAATTACCTGACCATGCAGCACACAGATTATGTAGGATGTAAGGTCCCAGGATATCCAATCATTCTTCCAGAGCATGCACAGTCATGGGGGAGTGGCCAGGAATGCCAAAAGCTCCTACTCAAGAGTACCCTGGGGAAAAGTGGGGTGGGATGGCCCCCCACACTGATGAAAGTGAAGCTCTAGGCTGAGATCTAGTTACTGAAAGGCACCCTAGTGACTAGGTGCATGCAAGCTAGAGAATGAATGCACAAGTGATTTCTTCATGGAAGTGTCTGGGGTCAGGGGCACAGGCAGAAGAGGAAGCTCTAGCCATTATTTATGGGCTACAGTGCCATAGTCTGAAGATCTTCTGTTTGTTAGTTCTGGATGCCTGATCCACAAGGCCTAGAGCAACCTCAAATAGCCTTTGCCTCCCATGCCAGGATCTTCACTTCACTGTGGGTGTTCTCTGTTTTGACCCATGTCTCTTCAGTCCCCTCACTGGTACATCTGTGTCCACAGAGGAGTTCCTGGTGTTTGGTCCCTCAGAGCCCATTGTGGCTGCTCCAGGTGGGGAAGCCATACTTCCCTGCTCCCTGTTTCCAGTCATGAGTGTGGAGAATATGGAGGAGTTGAGGTGGTTCCGCTCCAGATTCTCAGAGGCAGTATTTGTCTATCGGAACCAACAAGAACAGAAGGAAGAGCAAATGGCCAAGTATTCAGGACGGACCTGGCTGGTGAAGGACCAATTCCACCAAGGCAAGGCTGCTGTGCGCATTGGAAATGTCCAGGAGCCAGACAGTGGAATATATGTCTGCTTCTTCAAACGTGGTCTCTTCTATGAAGAGGCCATCTTGGAACTGAAGGTGGCAGGTTGGTGAACTGATCCCTGTTCTAAAGATGTTGGGTGAATTGTGTGTGGGAGGAAACTAAGGGATCATGTATCTCAGCTCCTTAATTTATTGAATGAGGGGAGGTCCATGTAGAGCAGGCTATCCTTGATCCAGATTTGTAGTGGAGGGTGATGATGAATGTAGGATCCTCTTGCTTCCTCCTAGGTGCTGGGCTCATAAGCATTGTCTACCATATGTGGCTCTGGTCCATCATTTTTACTTTTATTATTTTTGATCCCCCATTTTTATATGAGGAACAGTGACTCATTCCTACATCCATTCATCCAAAATGTGCTGGTCCTTGCTCTGGGGACCAGGGACACTGTCAGTGTCATGTAAAATACCAGATGATGGAATTTATATTTTAGAGGAGCAGGCAGAAATATCAGAGTGTCCCAATGAGAAGTCAATGTTAAATGATGATCAATGCCCCAAATGAGAAGTCAATGTTAAATGATGATCAATGCCCCAATGAGAAGTCTATATTAATTGATGATCAATGCCCCAATGAGAGTCAATATTAATTGATGATCAATGCCCCAATGAGAAGCCAATATGAAATAATGATCAATGTTCAAGACAAATAAGTAAGTAGAATAAGGAGGGATGTCAGGATTTTGTCTTCCCTAGGGGGAGCTGGGTGTGGGCCTGCTATCCCAGGGGTCACAGGTGAGTGACTAATGGAGAGATGGATGATGGTTTCTATATCAGGTCTCCCTGACTCAACCCTCTTCCGTTTCCTTCGGATCTTGTGGTTGAACAAAGAGTGGTCTGTGCTCTGTCCCCCATAGCAGACCCTGTTATCTTTCTTCTGTTGGGCAACAGGGGCTCAACCTAGTCCCAAAACAGGTGTGCTTTTCCTGTTCAATTCCTATGTTTCCATGAGAGGTTCCTATGAGACACATAGGTGATCCTGGGGTGCCTGAGCCCAAAGTGGCTTCTGGGGTCTTCACATGTGTCCTCCTGCAGTGATGGGCTCTGTCCCTGAAGTACACATCAAAGGTCCAGAAGACGGTGGCTTGTGTGTGGTGTGCATGACTTCAGGGTGGTACCCGAAGCCCCAGGTGCAGTGGAGAGACTCCAGAGGGGAGAGGCTCCCAGCATCCTCTGAGAACCACACTGAGGATGATGAGGGGCTGTTCAGCATGAAGACAACGTTGGTGGTGAGAGACAGCTCTTTGGGGAATGTGACCTGTTCCACCTTCAATCCCATCTTGGGCCAGGAGAAGGCCATGGGCATGTTCATCCCAGGTGAGGGCTGTTCCTCACTCCTACAGAGCTTGGGAAACAGATGGCCTTCCTGGAGTGTGCTGGGCTGACTGTTCTCAGGTGTGCTACTCACTGGCTCTCTGCCTGGGCCACAGAGCCCTTCTTTCCTCAGGCTTCTCCCTGGATACCAGCTTTTGCCGTGAGTGTGACCATGATGGGACTTCTGGTCTTAGGGTCAATCTATTTTCTCAGAAGAGAACATTTATCAAAGCTGCAGTTGCGGCAGGAATGGAAGAAAATGCGGCGTGAGCAGGAGTCATTACAGAAGAAAAAGGAGGCTGAGCTGAAGACCACAAGTAAGTCATGACAGCAGCCCAGGACTGGGCCAGAGTCCCGGGAAGATGCAGTGTTCTGGGATCAGAGTCGGTGGCCAAGAAAGCCCAGAGAGGATGGCTGGAGTGCTGGGGTCAGGTGGTCTGCAGTTTAGACTACTAGGAAACAATTGTGTTTCCTGTTTTTCTGTCCAGTGCACAGACCCTGTCTTCTCCCTGTTTTTCAGGCACACTCCAGGAAGAGCTTGGTGAGCCATGCTTTCCCTCCTGAGCCCTGGGTGTCCCCTCAGTGCCCAGTAGCTCACTTGACTCCTGTGTGTTGTTTTTCAGATCGGAGGAAGGCAGCTTACAGGGCTGGTGAGTGACTGTCCCAGTGTCCCATGGTTCCTTGTGGCACATGTGGCCAGGTGTGCCCTTTCCTTGATTCTAGACAGAATGGGAACCCCTTTGGGAGACATAAGAGGAAGGTTCAGTGTCCGGTACCCTGGTTCTTATTCCCACCAGTTTCTGTCCACCGTATTGTTGATTTTTTTCAGCTTCGTTAGCTCTAGACTATTGTCTGCACCTCAGAGCCAAACCACATTACTTAAATTTCATCAAAGAAGACGTCTTAATTAGGTTTCTCTTGTTGTGATAAAACATCATGACTAAATGGAACTTCAGGAGAGAAGGGTTAATTTATGTTACACATTTTCACACCACAGTCCATCACTGAGGATAGCCAGGGCGGGAACTCAAGGCAGGAACCTGGAGCAGGAACTGAAGCAGAGACCACAGAGAAAGGCTTACTTGCTTGCCTCCAATGGCTTGTTCAGCCTGCTTGCTGATACACTGCAGGACCACCTGTCCAGGGTGGCCCTGTCCACAGTGGGCTGGCCCCTCCTACAATAATCATCAACCAAGAAAATGCCCCACAGCCTTGTTTACTGCCGTTCTGATGGGGGCATTTTCTCCATTGAGGCTCCCTCCTCTGAGATGACTCCACCTTGTGTCAAATGGACAAAAACCTAACCAGCACAAGGTGTTTATGAGCGAATGAGGTCACAGATCCTGGAGTATGACCTCCACCCATTCCACAGTCAACTCCCAGGGAGTCTGCTTTCTTATCTCAGAGGTGTGGATCAAAGTGATGGGCAGAGGCTGGGGCTGCTGACCTCGGTGGGAGGGAATGGTAAACTGGGTGCTCTTGGCATAGTGGTGCCTGGCTTTAGAGGTATGTTACATGAGGAACACTGGGTGCTCCAAACAAGAACTCACTTCCTGTCTATGTTTTATACACATTCTCCTTTTTCAGCACATCTCCAAATATACCTCCACAAAAAGTGCTGATATTGTAATGGTTTCTGACAATCATGGAATACTTTTTTTTATTCTCTAAGATTTATTTGCCCACATTGCAAGGCTTTAAGAGTGAAGCTGAGCTGGCCAGTGGTGGTGCACACCTTTAATCCCAGCACTTGGGAGGCAGAGGCAGGCAGATCTCTGAGAGTTCGAGGCCAGCCTGGACTACAGAGTGAGTTCCAGGACAGGATTCAAAGCTACACAGAGAAACCCTGTCTCGAAAAAACAAAAACAAAAAAAAAAAAAAAAGAGTGAAGCTGAATGATTATAGATTTATTATTATTTTATTATTAATTATATTATTATTATTTCACATTTTGTTATTTGAAGTAGAGGCAGATATTTGACAGCTAAAAAGCCACACAGCTTCAGATCAGTGGGGGAAGTTAGCCTATAATGCCATCTTTCCCATTCGTGATGCAGAGAATTTCCCACAATCCTCTGCTGCCTCTGCACCTTGCAGGAGCCAGCTCCTTAGAGTCCTCGCTCCTTACCTTTAGAATGGAGGGAGGGACAGGTTAGTAGACTGCTTTAGTGGGGCTGTTCTGATTGAGTTCTCAGGAGAATATGTTCTTTTACAGCCTGGAGGAAGGCCCAGCTGTATGCAGGTACGTGACTCTTGTAGAATGCTATGGTCTGGGCAGAAATCGTGCCTTAGAGTTTCCTGGGCTGTGATGAAACACCATGACCAAAGGCAACTGAAGGAGGAAAGTGTGTATGACTCACACTTTCAGTCCATCTTCACAGCAAGTCAAGGCAGGAAGAAACACAGGGCAGGAATCTGGACTTGGGGCTGATGCAGAGTCCGTGGTGGAGTGCTGAGTACCGTATTGGTGACCCTGGCTTACCCAGTTTCTTTTCTCATATACTCTGTGACCACCAGCCATGAGATGGCACTGCGCACCATGGGCTAGGTTCTCCCATATCCATCATCAACCATCAATCAAGAAAGTGCCCAAAGGACCTGCCCACGGGCCAGTCCTATGGAAGCATCTTCCCAGTTAATATTCCTTCCTCCCTGATGACCTCACCTTGTGTCAAGCTGACATAAAGGCTAGTCAGCACAGTGTAGCTCTTGTCCTCTTGAGCTGTCAGAGCTGTGACTACCCAAAGGAGACCTGCACAAGACTGGTCCCATCAGGAGAGAGGAGCCCACAGGGCCTGCCCTTCCCCAAGATATTCTCTCCTTCTGTCTCTTTGTGTGTGTGTGCATGTGCGTGTGTGCATGTGTGTGTGTGTGTGTGTGTGTGTGTGTGTGTGC